TTACAAAATATTAATAATTTATTATTACAATATTTATTTTATTCTTTACTTTCAAAATATTAAATATAAAAAATTATTATTAAAATTATTATTTAATTTTTAAGTTTAAAATATTAACTTTTTAATAATTTATAATTAAAACTTAAACCTTTTTATTTTAAATTCATTCTATTTTTTCCTTCTTCCTTTTAATTTTAAATTCATTTTAATTTAGTGAGATGATGAGAGTGGCAATTCGATAGAGACAGAAAGAAATTGTGAAAAATAAATAAATTACATTTTATAAAGTATGATAATTCTTAAAATTAGTGAGAAGTATTTTTGTCCATTAATTTTTATACCCTATTACTTGTCTATTGGGATAGCCAATAGCCAATACTAAGGGAGGCCTTTTCTAATCTCTTGAATAGCCATTTCTTCCAACCAAATAAGGGGTTCAAGGAAGAATAAAAATAAAGGAGAATGGCTATTTCATTCTCGTAGCCAAACTTACTAAAATATTAATAAGAGAAAACATGAGCTTTTTAGAAGTTGGGTAGAGAACGAGACAAGAATTAAGGATAAGGGATATCTGTTCAAACTAAAACACAATCATGTTTGATTAGAAATGAGTAAAAGTAAAAAATGATAACACTAGTTCAAACATAAATCAGGATTTTTTGTTTATAAATAAAAGTCAATTTTTAATTTTAATTTATCAAACATATTATATTTGTTTTCTTATTTAAATATAATCGTTTACTACTTTTTTATAAAAATAAAAGGAACGGTAAATGTAATAGTGAAATGGGGCCTAATTAAGTTTTTCTTGGTGCCACATATAAAAATTTAAAAGGTCCCCAAGAGCTAAGTGAACACCGTAACGATTAAGATGCCGATGAGTGTTCATATCAATTGTAAGAAGCAAATCATGTCATCTCTAGGTTTAATGTTCAAATTCTAACATTTATAAGTTTGATCTAATTTTATATTGAATTTGTATTATATATACATTTGTTATTTTTTAACATATATAATTCTAGATTATATACATTAAGGTGGTTCAAGGAACATATCGAAGATGATGACAGCTAGAAGGGGGTTAATAAGACCCTTGCCTCTCAAAGTTTTAAAATCTTGTAAGTTTTTTTCCTAAAACAAAAGATTATAATTTTATTCTTACAGATATTGAACTTTTTATTTTCACCTCAAATATGAAATTCTAGTTTTGCCACTAATAATAGCCACCACTCTTTAGTTTTTTGTTATTAATTTTATTTCAAAAATGAATAATTTTTTTTCTTACTCGATTCATGATCTTATATGATTAGGGTTGAATCCCCTCTCATACTCTTCCATTTTAAGATTTAAACCCATGCCATAAAAGAAAGAGAGTTTGGGATTTTAACTAGAGCAACATCCCATTAAGGAGAATTAAGTACTTACTTTGTATGGATCAGAATCCGATGGAGGAAAAAAACACAAAAAGGATTAAAGAGAAAGGAAGGTTAGAGTATCACATATGTCACGTTTTTTGGGGTGTCGTAAACATTGAAGAGGTTTAAGAGATACAGATGGGCAAATTTTGAAGCTTTGTGAGATAATAAGGGGCATTAAGTGCAGGGGAATCTCACATTAATGAAAAGGAAAAAAAGGGGAACAGAGAATGAAAATAACCCAAAGAAAAAGAGAGAAAAGCAGTGAAATGGAGACAAAAGGGGATGTGAGTTTTTGAACGCAAGGAGACAAAGCCACCGGTGCAGAAAATTCCAAAATCAACACTCCGCTCTTGCGCATGCTCTCCTTATGGCATTTAAAGAAAATGGCCAACCTAGACGGTTTTTTTTTTAATCCTCTCTGGATTCTCTCATCACAATCCTAGTATTAAATTCCACAACAAATCAAACTCTTCACTCTCTTCTTCTACTCTGGGTAATTACTCTTTATAAATGCTCATTTCCATGGTTTGGCTTAACTACGGTATTGCCATGCCATGTTGCCCAAAAAGGGAGGGGGGGCGAGGAGGAGAAAAACAATACTATGGACTATGATACGGTGTTGGTATGTGAGACATCATCATTCATCGACATAAAAGAAATAGGTACATTAAGGGCGTGCACCCAAGACAAAAGTCAAGCCAAGTACTTGTTTGACATTTTTTTTTTTATGTGAAGTCAGCTTCAATCAAATTTATTTTCTTGTTCTGAGTAATATGATATGAACTTGAGTTTTTGGTGTACAAACTCAATTCCAAACTTTAATTTTTGATTGATTTGAAATTAACTTTTTATATTATAAATATGGATGACATTATAAGTAAATTTTATTGAATGAAAAAGGATATTGTTTTACTCAAATCAATTGACCCGTGCCAATGTTATTATAAGATAAAATTTTAGTTTTTTTATACTTTATATCTTTTTATTACAATATGTGTTTAATTTGATTAATTTAACATCCTAATTTAAATCGACATTAAAGCTTTCAAAGCCAATTAGGTCCAAGGAAAAAATATTTTTAAACTTATTCAAAAATTCATAGGTATACATATATGTTAAAATATTTAAGACGATTATTTTTATTAGTATTTAATGGGAAAAGTATTAACTACTTTATTCCTTAAACATAATTTATTGAACATAAAAGCATCGATCTTGATCCGACCGTTATAAAAAATAACAAATTATAGATACCGTTATATTATGATGAAATGAAATAATAGAAATCGAAACTTTATCTCAAATAATATTGACACGCGTAAATTTATCGAATACAACAAAATTTTCTTTTATTCAATTGAACTTACTTATAATTCTATAGCAACAATCTATCATCGTCAAATACTTCAATATTCTTAGTTACATTTTAATAAAATTTTGAAATTAGAAATCAATTTTTGCTCATAAATAGGTAATTAGAATACTAAAATATTATTGCTATATACGGATTTTAATGTATTTAATCTCCAAAATGACTACATTATCATCATCTTACAATGAGATGTGAGGACATTTGCCATGTCATGACATGCATTGAACTGAAAAAAGACATGATGATGGATGACCATACATGTTCGTTCCTTCATTAGTTTTAATCCTAGGTAAAAAGGTCTTAAACCAAAATCACTTTGAAACAAAAGAAAAAACCCAAAACAAAAGTAGAGCGGAAGAGGAAAGAACAAAGGAGGCCACGCACGCAGGGAGGGTATTTGTCCGTAGCGTGGGTTGGAGTTGAAACACGTGCAGAAACGGCCGTTAGCGGTTTCGCTTCCCTGGGGCCGCAATTCCTAAACGGCGACTCCCTCCTTAGCGGTTGTGGACCCCACCTTTCCTTCTCTTTCTGTTAAAATTTTTTATTATTAAATTTAATCCCTTTTCTTTTTACTTGTATAAATCCACTTCTCTTAACCCATTTTTTATTAGCTCTTTCTCTCTCAAGGCGAATATAAACTATCCTCTGAGAGAGAATCTGCAGCAAATTGAGCTTCCTTTTTTTTTTTTTAATTTAATTTGATTCCTGAAGAGAATTGAACGGCAATATAGCTAAAAGCTTCAGCCTTTTTTATCCAATCAGTAAGCCTTTTTTTTCTTCTTCTCTTTTATGATGATTTCTGGGTTCTTTTAAACTTTCTCATTTCCATTGTTAAAGCTTGACGTTTCTTCTATTTATTTTTATTTTTTGTTGGATTTTCTTTTCTGGGTACTTCTCATTTTTTACAAATAAAGGTGAAGTTTTTTTGTGAAATGGTATTGCTTTCAGTGAAGGGTAGATCTTTGTTTTGGCTTTTTGGAGCCAAATTTAGATTTGGTTTTCACTGTTGATTTGCTTAAAGTGTGGCATATGATTGACTCTTGATGAATTTCTTTTCTTTTTCTACTTTTTATCTTTGTATATCTCTGTAAGTGTGAATTTAAAAGATCTGGTTTTGGATTATTGTCATTGCTCATTAATGGAATGGATTTCTCTGCCTTTTCAGCTTTGCAAAGAATATCAATTTGTAAGTTCTATTTTTTTATTTATTTATTTTTTTGGATTCTTGGTTTTGATTACAAGATTGTTCTTGTTATGCATGTTGCTTTTGATGATAAACAAGGCTTGTGATCTGTCATTATGGAAATAGTTACATTGTTTTGTCTTATTTCTTGGTTAGTTTTAATTGAGCCTAGTTTGGGTTGATAGAAGTGTCCAATGCTTTGTCTTTTAAATTGAGTTCTTTTTGGAATTCACTCTTCTATATATGAATAGGATTTTATCAACTCTCTAGCCGTTGGTTTCGTCTGGTTTTTACACTTCGTTTCTTTGTTGGATTTTATGGAATTCTCTGATATGTGAATTGGTGGTGTTATCATCCATCAAAAATTATATGTTTAGCTAAATAAGTTTATCTTTGTACATGCAGTAACTGAGGGATGTCATTTTCCTTATTGACTGATCAGTTTTGCATTTCATTATGATGAAGAAGAAAGGAAAGGTATCTGGTGCTTGGATTATATAATCCCAAGATCATGTTGGAGGGCCCATCATACCTTGTCTCAAGGGATTTGCCAAGCTCCTGCGAGCACGAGAGCAAGTGGATTTATAATACTTTTTGTGTCATCGAGCTCTCAAGAAGCAAGCACCGGATGGAAGATGGAGAAGACCAGATGGCAAGAAAGGTTCTCAAGCCACTCGAAGGTGATGAGGATGAGGGAATAAAGCAGGATATGTACCTTGCCCAAACTGATGAACCTGGTACCCAGCGCCATGCTGGGGATCATTCAGAATCAAGTTTACTGATCCACCAGCTTGGGCGAGACATTTCGATTAACTGTCTCCTACGCTGCTCAAGGTCTGATTACGGTGCCATTGCATCTTTGAATAAGGGTTTCTGCTCTCTTATACGGAGTGGTGAGCTGTACAGGTTGAGGCGGGAAATGGGAATTGTTGAACATTGGGTTTACTTCTCTTGCAACCTTCTGGAGTGGGAGGCTTTTGATCCAATTTGTCGCCGATGGATGCATTTGCCTAGAATGACGTCCAATGAATGTTTCATGTGTTCGGATAAGGAGTCGTTGGCAGTTGGGACAGAACTTCTTGTTTTCGGAAAGGAAATAACGTCCCATGTTATTTATAGATATAGCATTTTGACGAACACGTGGTCATCTGGGATGAAGATGAATACACCCAGGTGCTTGTTTGGATCTGCCAGTCTGGGTGAAATTGCAATTCTAGCTGGTGGTTCTGATCCATGTGGAAATATTTTGAGCTCAGCAGAGCTTTATAATTCAGAAACTGGTAAGTGGGTGACCATTCCAAGCATGAATAAGGCAAGAAAAATGTGTTCTGGTGTATTTATGGATGGGAATTTTTATGTTATTGGTGGAATTGGGGTTGGCAATTCAAAGACACTGACATGTGGGGAGGTGTACGATTTGAAGGCAAAGACGTGGCGTGAGATACCTAACATGTTCCCTGCACGAAATGGGGCGGCTGGAGCAACTGAAGCACCTTCTGCGGCTGAGGCACCTCCTTTAGTGGCAGTTGTGAATAATGAGCTGTATGCAGCTGATTATGCACTAAAAGAAGTAAGGAAATATGACAAAGAGAAGAACTTGTGGGTTACTCTAGGGCAATTACCTGAGCGAGCAGTCTCAATGAATGGCTGGGGGTTAGCATTTAGGGCGTGTGGGGATCGGCTAATTGTTATTGGCGGACCTAGGGCTTTAGGTGAAGGGATGATTGAGCTTAACTCATGGGTTCCAAATGAGGGCTCGCCACAATGGAACTTGCTCGCACGCAAGCCCTCTGGCAGTTTTGTGTATAACTGTGCTGTGATGGGATGCTGAAATGTGCATCCAGTTTTGGAGGTACCATGTCTGCTGTATGAAGTCCTTTTTTACTGGAACTTACAGCTGTGGCCTCAAGGAGAAAAGGTTCTGGAGAGTGGGTAATCTCTGCCTTCCTTTTGGGGGAAATTTCATGTCTTAAATTAGATGGTAGATACTGTTATAGGAGGAGGTCTGGAGATTTCTCGGCCTGTTTAGTTTGATGATGTTTTATTGCTTTGGGTCTTTTTTCCTTGCCTTTTTTTGTTTTTCCTGCTGTTGGGTCAGAGAGTTGTTCTTTTATTTGGTTACAATCGGTGTTTGTCAGAGGTTGGTGTCATGTAGAACATGCACAGTTCAATAATGTCAAGTCCAGTACATTTTAGGTTGTTTTCAATATTCAAAAAGCTTCCTTCAGCCTAATGCTAATTCTGTCGTGTTGATCAATTACCTAGCTAATATGTTAAAAGATATAAATGATGGCCTGCTGTCTCCACCCAACTCCAAACCATCTTACATCCCAAAAAAAAAAAAAAAGAAAAGGGAAAAGAAAAAGGTAGAAAGATCCTATTAGGTAAAAAAGTTTAACCTCTTAGCTTGCAACTAACTACTGCCTTTTTTTTTTATAATTCTTTTATGCAGTATATACATCTCCATATTTCAGTTATGGATTCTTGCAAGATTAGTAGATTTTACACTCATTATTTATTGCATTAATGACAATGTTACTGCAGATTGTGGTTTAAATAGCTTTGTTGTTCATGACAAAATTGTGGTTTGCAACTAACTAGTGCATTCCAATACCTGCCCCCTACAGTTTTGTGTACTGGCCTTCTTAGCAGGAATATGACAAAAAATACTTAATAGCAGAAGATAAATGATTTTTTTTCTACTTTGGTTCATATTGTATGTTAATATTTTTTGGTTAGTTTTAAGAGCTTGCTGAGAACAAATTTGAAAATAGAAAAGAAATAAGAGATTATTAATTTTCCGTATTAATCAAGTTATGTGAAAATTTCACCCAAAAAAAAAAAACAGAACAGAGTAGATATAATTTAGTATGGAAGATATTTATGTATTAGTAAAAATATAGAAAGAAGAAATATATTTCTAAGATCAATAAACACAGCAGTGTTGGTTACTTCGAAAAACAGGGATGAAAATTTGGTCAATACGAGATGGATAACCTTGTTGGCTTTGGTGTAGGAAGGCTACCTATGAATTTTGTCCACTCAACCCAGCCTCTCTCAATAGTATTAAATGTCTGGGAGTGAATAGTTTTGCCTTCAGTGAGACAAGCGTAAAGCAACCCGCCACAACTTCCTTTAGGTCAAAACACATTAGGGAGGGAAACTAGCTCTTGAATGAAAATTTTGGGTCAATTCGTATAATTCATTCTCATATTCAGCATTCAGAGGGTATCTGCTGAGGAAATTTTCTATTTTGCTATTTTATTTCTGTGTACAATATGCAATTTTTAACATCTTGCTTTCTTGCATTTAATAACTTAATTGGCTTTTCCAGCGCCGGAGCTTGAAGAAATTTTCTTTGGGCGTCAATCTCTAACATCACTTTGTTACATGTTAGTTTTGAGTGAAGTTCAATGTCTTTGTTTGGCTGTTTTTATTGGATCAGAAAAATACATGACGTATGTTCATGAATTTCTTGCAATGTACGAGCCTCAGGCAATAAGGAAATTATCCTTTGTGAAAATGTTTGTGGGACATGTTTGGAAAGAGTTTACCTTTGTCTTGTTGATCAATTTTCTCTGGATTTAGACACTTGGGGCAACTATCACTTTCATATATGTATGCCTATGTCGGCTCATTGGTTGCAAATTAGATGGATTTGGATGATAATACCCCGTGATGCTGCACTTCACATCCTAACAAATTTGCACTTTTCATTAATGTTATTAGGTTGCATTATTCTTTATCCTTAATTGTTAGCAAAAATGTAATGCATTTCTTGCTTCTTAAATTTATGAGTTAAATTCTTTTGGCATAAAATTTTTCATTTCCAGAAGGATGCACCTGACCTCAATTGCCATGAATAACCAATCCTTAGCTATATCTAATCTGAAAAACTTTTCTAGATGTCTGTAACTCTTTATTTATTTGTTTGTTATAGCCTCTTTTGACCTTTTGTGAGTTTGCTTTGGAGTATTGAGATGAGATGCTAGGATTTTTTTTTTCCTTTTACTTTCCTGTAACATATCAAAGCATCAGAATTGTCAATATGGTAAAGATATCAGATCATTGATTTCTGTTCTATGGATTGAAAATATCAGATCATCTGTTTGTTTTTTTTTTGGACGTTAGAGTTAGAATAAGTAGGAACTTTACATGACCAACATGGTAAAGAATGCAAAAATAAATGCAAAACAATATCTACATAACAAAATTTCTGTTACAGGCTTGCGAGATAGAAGGGCTTGGTGCTGTCTCTTTCTCAAGTTACGTCTAATTTCTGTGTATTTCAGGGGGAATAAAATGAGAAAGAAGATCAACATCCTACGAAGTAGATCACAATTTTCCTTTTACTTTTGTGCTGCAATTCATTTACACATCACCAAAAATGGCATTAATTTGCATTTTCTGGATTCAGATCTTGATATAGGACATCAGATGTACACAAGAGCAAAGTAGAAAACTTGGCATATGTGGCTGGTTGGATGGTATTTTAATGCTCTGGAGAAGAGAAACTGCCAAGAATGAAAGTTTTGTTGTCTTATACATATCAAGGTTTCCAGTTGATGATATGATGGAAATTTTTCAATTTTTCATGCTCCCATTATAGCTATTGAATGAAAATTCCTGTCTATCAATATAAGTTTTTTGGGCTATGGTTTGAATCTGCAGGATTTTTTGTTTCAATATGTTTGGTACAAATTTATTGGTTAATCATCTTTGGTACAAATATATGATTCAGTATGCTGTTTTATTAAGTATGGTACAGATATATGATTCAGTATGCTGTCTTATTAAGTGTGGTGCAGATACATGATTCAGTGTTTCTCCCCTATGCTGTTTTATTATGTATGGTGAAGGTTCTTCCACTTTACTTCTGGTTTCTGCATTAGCTATTAAGGTTAAGTTCTAATTATGATAACTAGGGTTCCGCAACCAAGATAAGTAATTAGTAATAACCATGCCCCTCTAATTCTTCATGCATCAGTTGATATGAACTTTTGGGTAGTTGCAAGGTTACAAACCAGGCCAGTGAACTGAAAAACACAATCCCCAGTTGCTCGTCAGCTCTGCTGGGGTGCCATAGGGTTTCTCCAGGATCCTTTTTCCCTTTCCCAATGAAGTAAAACAAAAAAAAAGAAGACGAAGAAACTCTCAATATCCAATTATGGCTTATGATTTGGTGACCAAATTTTTTTCACTGTTCTAAGTTGCCACCAAGCAAGAAACACCCTTTTTAGTTGTACTTGCTGGCTTTTGCTGCAAAGTAAGTCTCTCTCTCCACCTGCAAGAAAGGGAAAAAAAAAGAAGAAGATAAAAATGGGAAAAAAAAAAGGATGAATCTTTAGCTGGCCCCCAAGGGAAACAGTACAATTAAGTACAGCAGACGAAAACTGCTTGTTTAGTTGTTTGTGAATAGTGAGCAGCGGCTGCAGGGGCAGGGGCAGGGGCAGGGGCAGGGGGGGCTCACGTGGATGGTGCTCTGCATGATGCTGCATTAACGCATCTCTGCTGTTTTCTGGTCGCGAAGTTGCTGTTTAACTTGAATGAATGTTCGATCTGTACTTTGATGATTCAGTGTTAGCAATTCCATGAAGAGCCCAACTAAAAAAGACTGACAACTTTTTGCTTATACGATCTGTTTCCTTTTCTTATTGGTGACAATTTTTGGAGTATTTAGAACTTCCATCTTTTCTTTCTAGCAAAAAAGATGGTACATCGTTTCTAAAAGTTAGGTCCTGCTCAAAGGATAACCTTAACAAGATCATATGATTTCCTTTTCTGCCTTTACCAAGACAATTGCATTATATTTAAACCTAAAATCCCTACATGTAAATAATGTACAAAGCTAAATTTATTGATAATGTCCATCTAAATAACAATTAACCTGTGGACTAATATAAAATTAGATCAAAGTTTTTTATATAAAGGTTTAACATAGTGTATTGGGGGTTTTTTTTTTTAAAAGTTTTTGTATGTAGAATATTTTGGACAACTAATATACATATAAATACTATTAAAGTTGTCCAAAAATGGGAAGAACATTTTATCAAGGGGCACCCCATCAACAGCGGTGCCAATTGATTGCCATGTGGCATTAAGAAAGAAAGTAATAGCCGTTGTAAGTGATTCAATTAAAAATATTGTAACTGATAAATAGAGAGACAGAAAAGGGATTCAATTAAAAATATTGTAAGTGATGTTATGAATAAATTTGTAAATGTTCATTATGTTATGATCCAAAAAGTGTAAATCAAGTCAAACAGTCTAATAGTCAAGATACAAGAAATGTAAAATGATTTGAATTCTTAGATAGAATTGGATTAGGATTATGATTTAAGGGGTTTTTGACCTATAAATATGTCTTTCACTTCATTTGTAAATACACACTTATATAAGATCTTGGTACTCTTTTTAAATACTTTCTTTCATCTAAGTACTTGTTCTTATATTTCTTTTATAGTTTATGTTATCAGCATGATCCTCTTTGATCTTCAAAGTTTTGAAATTATTTTGTTTTCGTCATCTTCAAACTTCAAAAGGATTTCAATGATTCGGTTTTGATTTGTAGTTTTAGTAAATCCAATAAGAATTGCTATTATTTTGTTTTTATCATCTCTAAGCTTTAAAAGAATTTCAATGGTTGGTCTTTAGCTTCTGGTTGTAACAAATCAAGTAAGTGACTTGATATCTTTTTAATATTTTCATTCCCTAAAAATCAACCTTAATATGAATTTTGATATCATATAGTATATATTATATTTTTTCCCTTAATTAGAAAGTGAATTTACTATTATATAACTATTAATGAAAAATCATAATATTCATTCCCTGAAGTGAATGTGATAAACGAGCTACTAATAAAAAATTATAAATTTGTCCATTCTTTGAAGTGAATGTGACATCATTTAATAATTATGATCATGGTCATGAATCTATATATTTCTTGAAGTGAATGTCACATCATTTAATAATTATGATCATGGATATAAAAGAGGTCGTTATAATAATTTACACTAATTACTATTTTAATTTTAAAAATAATTTTACCACTATAAGTGGATGGATAGTTTTATCATTAGAATTTAAGGATAATTTTTCCACTAGAAGTAAACGAATAATTTTACCACCAGAAGTGAATGGATGCTGTAACCCATTAACCCATCAGAAGTGAAAAACCCATAAAAAAAAAGTGGATGAATACTTTTAATCCACCAAAAGTGGATGAACAATGAAAAGATAATAATGCAAAAAATAAAAGAAATATAGAAAACGTATTGTCGTTAATGTGGCATGAAAGACCATTGATCACGTACCTATTGTACGTCTTGAATTTTATCAAGTATTGCTGAAAACTAAAACATCTTGTGATGATTTTAATCATGGCTAAGTTGATATAGCACATCAAGATATTTGTCCACCCTGAAAGAGGAATTGATTATATGATTAGTAATCGAAATACCCATTGTTGATTTTCTTATCCTGAAAAAGGAATTGAGCATTTAATTAGTAATAGAAATATCCGAGAATGAATTTAATAGTAATTGGTATATTTTAGTGTAACTATATTATAAAGATGCTTTAATATGTTTTCATTATTTTTAAATGATACGTTTTTATTATGTGTTTTAATTATATATTTAATGTTATTCCATGTTAACTTGTAAATTTCTTATAGTATATATTTTTTTTATTGAAAAAAATATAGATATTCATCTTGTTAGATCTAAGATTTATGATATAAATATATGTCTAGCAGACATTACTATAACACACTCTATATTTAAAGACAAGAACTATTTTTCTTACTTGCAACAAAAAAACAAACCCAATGTCAATTCAATATCCAGTAATACAAGATTAATTGAACGCTCTAGAAGAGCTAATATTTTACTATTTTGAGGAATAAAGTTTATAATAGAAGATATATTATTTTCTATTAAGTCTCAAAGAAGTTTATTAAGTTTTAAAAATATTCATTTGAATAGATATCATATTAAGACAATGAATGAAAGAGATATTTAATATCTATATGTTACATCTATTAATTCAGGTAAAAAGTGTGTGTTGAAAAAAAAATACCCACTCTATTCTCATAATTAAGCTATACAAATATTAGAATAATTGAAGCTCATAGTAACTCAGAAGTTTACTAATGATTTTAATATTTAGGATGATCGGTTGGACCATCCTAGAGTAATAATGATGTAAAAAATGATTAAAAATTTATCATTCATTGAAAAACCAGAAGATTTTTTAATCTAATGAATTTTTATGTGTTGCTTGCTCTAAAGGCAAATAAATTATAAGGCTATCACCAACTAAAGTTAGGATTGAATTCCCTACGTTTTTTAATAATATTCACGGTTATATATGGATTCATACATCCACCATATGAACCATTAAGATATTTTACTGTTTTAATCGATGCATCGATTAGATGGTCACACGTGTGCTTATTATTAGCTTGCAATTTGGCATTTGCAACCATTCGTTTGCAAACACATTTTTCTAGTTGTATAATCAAAATTATTTGTCTTGACAATGTTGGTGGATTTATATCTCAAGCTTTTAATATAGCTTATTAGTTGGAATAACTATTGAGTAGCATATTGCTTATGTTTATTAACAAAACGGTCTAAAATAATCGTTTATTAAACACTTCCAACTAATTGCAATGCCATTGCTTATGAAATTCAAACTCCAATATCTACTTAGGGACATGCCATTTTGGATGCAGCAACATTTGTATGCATCAAGCCAAATGAGTTATTATAAATTCTCTTTATATAATTGGTTTATAGTCAGGAACCAAATATTTTTCATTTAAGAATTTTTGGATATGCGGTATATGTTTCAATTGCCCCACCACAATGCACAAAGATGAGTCCTCAAATGAGGTTAGGAATATATGTTGGATATGAATCTTCATTTGTGATTAAATATTTAGAATTATTAATATGAGATTTATCTGTGACAAAGTTTGTCAATTGTCATATTGATGAAACACTTTTTCCAACATTAAGGAAAAATAATAAGCAGCTGCAAAAGAAAACTTCTTAGATTGAATTATCATTATGTAATTTTGATCATCGCACAAGTCAATATGAACTTGAAGTTTAAAAAATAATTTTTTTTCAAAATATAATAAATCAGTTGTCAGACGTATTTACTGACCTAAAAAAATAACTAAATCTTATATATCAACTGTAAATGCTCCTATTAGTATTGATGTCTTTGTAGGACAAAGCACACCAGAAGCGTGGAGACTAATTATTTCCAAAGATAAAATCTTTGAAAAAGAAAAGGTGCAAATATTTAAAATGGTCAAAAAAAGGAAGTAGAAACTCTAGAAAAGATCCCTGACATAATTGATAAGCATTTCGAAAGAAATTCAGGTACCTGAAATCAATGAAAATAAAGAGATCTCAATAAATTATGTCATGATGAAAAAAGATGAAACCGATAAATAAAAGTCGACAATATTTTATATCTAATATAGAGCTCAATATTATAAAAGTAAAACGAGGATTTTGAATTTATTTTTATTGAAAAATGTAAGCATAGAAGTAATTGGCCAATGTGGAAAGACGCAATTAAGGAAGAATTGAATTTATTTACAAAACGTGAAGTTCTTGGATCTGTAGTCCGTATATCAAATAGTGTAAAACTACTAAGATATAATTGGGTATTTGTACGAATATGAGATAAGAAAATTGAGATTATGAGATATAAAGTACAGCTTATCGCACA